GAGGAAGGAAATGAAAGATGGTGGTTGAAAATGGCGGAGGGAGGAGGGAGGGGATGGTGAATGGCGGAGGGGGGAGGGAGGAGATGAAAGATGGCGGTTGAAAATGGCGGAGGGCGGAGGGAGGAGATGAAAGATGGCGGTTATAAATGGCAAAGGGAGGATGGTGAATGGAAGAGGGAGGAGGGAGGAAATGAAAGATGGCGGTTGAAAATGGTGGAGGGAGGAGGGAGGAGATGGAATATGGCGCTTGAAAAATGCGAAGGGAGGAGGTAGGGGATGGTGAATGGCGGAGGGAGGACGGAGGAGATGAAAGATGGCGGTGGAAAATGGCAGAGGGAGAGGGGAGGGGATGGTGGTTGAGGGAGGAATGAGGGAGGGGATGAAAGATGGCGGTTGGGAGGAGGGAGGGCATGGTGGTTGGCAGAAGGACAAGGGAGGAGATGAACGGTGGCAAAGGGAGGAGGGAGTGGATGGTGGTTGTTGGAGGGAGGAGGAAGGACATGAAAGATGGCGGAGGGAGGAGGGAAGGCATGGTGGTTGGTGGAGCGGACAAGGGAGGAGATGAACGATGGCGAAGGGAGGAGGGAGGAGATGGAAAATGGTGGACGGAGGAGGGAGGGGATGGCAGAGGGAGGACACCGAAGATGGGGGAGGAAGATGGCGGGAGGTGGAGGGGGTGGAGGAAGATGGGGGAGAAAGAAGATGGCGAGAGGTGGAGCGGATGAGGGAAATTGGGTTGACGTGGAGGGAGGAAGGACGGGAGATGGCAGAAGGAGGAAGCAGGGAGATGGAGAGGACTAGGAAAGTTTGGTTTTTCCCCTCGGCCCGGTGAGCTAGGGCTGGGTTGTACGGAGGGGCAGCGACCACCGTTCATCACATGCGGTTCCAATCCCGCCATTTGCAAGCGACAACTTTACCGATTTTTTGTGCTCAGAAGAATTCATCAAAACGTCTGCAAATTTGAGGGTCCATAGATTAGGTCGTGATCTTTTAGGAAAAAATATCAGAAAAATAAATAAATCATTTTGACCATCAAATATTCGCCGCGCCGATTTGGTGCATTTTCGCAAATTCAATTTTTTCAGGCCCGACCGGTTTTCCACTCTATACTACCGGTACCCCTGAGGTTTCTGACGTCAGGGGGACTATCGGTACCCCTGAGGTTTCTGACATCAGGGGGATTGGTGGTTTAAAACTAGTGGAAGATGGTAGGGACGATCGGGAAGCAAGAAGATAGCGGGAAGAGGAGGCGGTAGATTGTGGACGGAGGAGGGAGGAGGCGTAAGATGGTGGAGGGAGGAGGTGCAAGATGGTGGAGGAAGGAGGGAGGAGGTGCAAGATGGTGGAGGAAGGAGGGAGGAGGTGAAAGATTGAGGAGGAAGATGACTACAGAAGGTGTAGTGGATGGTGGAAGTATGATGGGGAGGGAGTTATATGATGGCAGGTGGTGGAGGGGATGGATGATGGGATAGATGCCGGCGGGTGAAGAAAGGAGAGCCACCATGAAATAATTGGCTCAACGCAAA